CTGATCCAACTCCAATTACTATAGCATGGCACTAAGGGCCACATCCAATCTCTGCTTAAAAACCTCCAGGGATGGTGAATCCACCACCTCTCTGGGTAGGCCGTTCCAATGCCTGATTACCCTCTCCGTAAAGAATTTCTTCCTAACATCTAACCTAAACCTCCCCTGGCAGAGCTTGAGCCCATGTCCCCTTGTCCTGTTGTTGGTTGCCTGGGAGAAGAGACCAACCCCCACCTGGCTATAACCTCCCTTCAGGTAGTTGAAGAGAGGAATCAGTCTGAGGCAAATACAAGGCATGCATGGCTAAAGAAAAGACTTGTGTCACGATGACAAACGCACCAGGAATTAGGGCTCTCTCATACCCTCTGGGACACAAAGTGACCCAGCACCTGCAGCCAGCAGGGGTGTGACCCAGAGCTTTCTGCCTGCTGCAAGAGCTCACACAGACCAGAAGGATGTCTGAATCCAGATTGCAGCCAAAGTCTCCACTCTAAGGCTACACTTGAATTTGTGGCTATAAAGCAACTTCTGTCCGTTGTATGAATAAGGTTCACATGTGCAAAGACGAGCAGTTCCCAGAATAAGCCAAAAGCTGCCCCACAGCTGCCTGTGCTGGAGAACAGTGGTGGGGATATGGAGCAGTAGCGCTGTTCTGCAGCTGTCACACAGTACAACAATAAGGAGCTGTGATCTCCTGTCACACATGCAAACAAAGAATTAACCTTCAAACCTAATTACATTAACACTGCTGTTCGCTGCTAAAGCTGTCCCAGGGAAATAAGATTGATTTCTGAATGTGCAAATGATTAAGCATTACATTCATGTTGTTCCTCGTGTATCTTAGGCAACATGATGCCTTTTAAAAAATCAGCATAAAAACAGCATTATGCTGGCAATTCCTTAAATAATGGGACTACGTGGATGACTTGCAGAAGTGTATGGGTCTTCTGTAAAATGCTGACTACTGCAAACTAAGATCAATTGCATAATAAGGTCCTGATGCTTTTAATTACCTGTTTTGCAGATATTTGAAATAATACAAATTCTGAAGTAAAAAGCTATTTTTGAGAAGAAACATTTTATAGTTTTCAAATCTCTGTATATTTTTCATTCCTCTTTTTTCCATTAAGCCATCACAATTCATAAAAACATAGTGGCAAATTCTGAACTGCAATGACAGAAAGTCAAGAAAGAGAAGATGAGTATGGATTTTAGGATATGAATACTGGTATATAACAAGAGTGTTAATGGCCACTTTAATTAGGTCCTCAGAAATAAAATATTTGTAAGTACTATGATTCTGCCAATTAGTTCATAATTTTCAGTATGCAAAATTCATCCTTGGCACAATCCATTTGGTTTCAGGAATCAATTTTGGTCAGTTGTGGTAAACAGGGTAAACATATGCTTTTACTGTTTAAAGCAGTGGCTAGGTAAACACACTGCTTTCTATGCTTCCCAATCTACAGAAGTACCAAATCTAGAGTCAATGAATAATTGAGTTAATGATGGTGAGGAATATTACATTCACTGGATATTTTACAATACCTCTGAAATGTGTCCACTTGATCTATAGAAACATCACCTCTCCTGTATAAGTCCCAGACGGTGCATAGGGGCGATTTCCTTGGCTTCCTGCAGCTGCGGTTTTTTGTTTTTGTTTGGTTTTGGTTTGAGTTTTTGGCGGTGGTGGTGGTTTTTTTCCCTTGAGAGAGAAGGGTATATGTCTTTAATTCTTACTTGGAATAAAAGTTTCATGATAGGAAATTGATGTGGAACAGAGTAGAAACTGACTTTCATATAGGACCTTTTTTCCCCTCCAAATAATCTTACAGATTGTAAGAAGAATCTTCTACAAAATCCAGCGACAGGGGAAATAGAATTAATAAGAGTAGTTATTACCAAATGAAGACTATAAAAATGTTATTTCTGTTTTTTAAAAAAAGCTTCTTTTTTCCTAACCACTAGAAAATCTATTAGTATTATTTTTTCCATTGGAACATGTTGCTTGAGGTATTTTAAGATGACATCGATATGATGTTGCAGGTAAAAGAAAAGTTGTACATAAGTATAGCAGTTGATGCTTTTTGAGTATATATTAAATGAGGCTCTTATTTCCCCATAGGCAACAGGAGGGTAGCACAAATGTATATGAAAGAGGAATTTTTGTGCATGCACTTATTTCAACACAGAGGAATAAGAAACCTAATTCAACAAAATACTTCTTCATGTTCATGTAGTTAAAATGCAGATTTTGCACATTTGTTTATAAAACACAAAGAGTTTTCCTTCCTACACACTTTTTTGTAGATAAAGAGGCAAACTAGTAAAACATTTGGATGTGCATTGAGGCACAGGGCCTTGCCCTTTTGATGTCAATGTGAATTCCACCATGGCTTCACATACTGGAGGGTTAGTGAAGAAGATGCCATAGCCAACATACTTGAAGTGCTGTATCTACTCATTTACTTTATTTCCAGATGTACTAAGCTAAGTAGAGTCTGTGCTTCCAAGATACGTCTGTGACTATCGACACACTGGGCCAGGAGTTGAAAGCTGCCAAAACATGTTTTGCAGTGGTGTGTGTCATAAAGAGGTGAAGGTAAATTTTATCAGAGCCTGAAGAAAGAAATCGCAGAATAATCACTAATTTTTTGACTGATAACTGTAGGAACACTTAGCCTAAAGGGTAATTTTTCAGCAAATTATTAGCACCAGAAAAAGGGGTTAGGATAAAAGTACCTCCTCATTTATAACTCCAGCCAGTACAAAGCAAAAAAAAAAAATGAAAAAAGAAAACAAGTTGGGGGGGTTGGATCAAACTGAAAAGATATTTACTTCACGGTAATGTCATTTCTCCTCTCTCATACACTGCAAAACCTACAGACTGGGAAAATTACTATGTTCTCCAGCATATAAGAGTATAGAAGACATAAGCAAATCTTACTCTCTGCTAGAAATACTTTTGTGTCATCTTGGAAAGCTGAATTTCTCTTTGAGTGGCCTTACTCTGGTAACAAGAAAAGACAGTTAACATTTATTCATATGTTGTACTGATTAGGAAATATCTCTACAAACACAAGTTACTTAGAAACAGCAAGTCTGAAATAGGAGAAAACACCAAGAGAAAAACAAGCTGTAAATACATTTCAAAAGTGTATTTGTTTTTTTTCCTTTTTGTTTTCTTGACTAGCACCATCTGTACACAATAAAGTATGAACATAAATGTTTGGATAATAAAGATTTGCAAGGCACTTAAACAGTTTTTCTGGATAGGTTTTCTTTTAATGAACCTCTCAATGGAAGTCCTACAACCACCTTTTCTCCTTCCTCACCTAATGCAGGGAAAGAAGTGTCTTCTGCCAGCAGTTCTTATTTACAGACATGTCCTTAAAGGCTCCTCAAAGTGCTCTTTTAGGCTAAGAGAATCAACAACCTTATATCTCCATTTTTCATGCTTGTCCTGTTTTTGTTTTGTTTTTTTTAATACTAGACCTCTGTATAGTATAGCAAATCTCTCATACACACAGTTGAGACTTGACTCCAACCTTCATCCTCATTCTTTTATCTTTGGGATGCTACTTGGAAGGGAAAAGGAGGATGGCAGAGATGTGCATTGAAATTCTCTTGAGGTTCATACTTTATCGGCGTCTAGAGGTGATGTCAAAACAGGTGATCATCATAAGATGGGCCTTGCAGAAGTTGACACGGTTTTCCAAACGCTCAGTCACACATTCCAGGGCCTCCAGGTATTCCAGAGAATCCAGCTCAAATACCTGCTCCAGATCAACTGTGGGAAAAAAAATAACACACAGATAGGAAAAATAAAAATCCTGCAGTGATTACTGGTGGGAGAGTCAGAACTAATTCAAGTCTTCAGATCCATCAGTATACAACACTATTACCTCTGGCTTGCCACTGTAATGAAAAGTTGCCTTTCCTATTTAATGGCTATTAAAAGGGCACAGTGGCTTACCCATTGTGAAAAAATACTTCCAAGTTGCATGGGATGTTTTCTTGAGCAATATGCTCCTCACCAGAGCTGCAGATGGTTTTGCCATGCTCCATCACCCTTAAGCAAACGTTGAGTGCTAAGCATGTACTGACTTTCTCACACATTCTCCTGACCACAAAGAGTTTTAAATAGCTGCTCTGCCCTGGGAGGATAAGTCCTTTGTTGAGTTCAGAACTTGGAATTAGAAATTAATCCCTGGCCTCCATGTTCCTCACACCTTTCTCTGTTCCATGTGATTCTCATCAGACCACTCAAGCCTGGCATACACATCAAAAACTCCAGTTTAGGTGCCCATATGCTGCCAGAAACTAGCCAAAAGCAGCTTCCATGGAAGCCAAGTGTGAGATGTATATTCTGGGCCAGCACTTCCCATCTTATCTGATCCCTGAGGTCTTTGCAATCCTTGAGACTTTCTGCACTTCCCACCCTGGAATCAGAAGCAAAGGCATCACACTGTAACTGAACAACATTATATAGCAAATTCCCCGCTCTCTTTAAAACTGTCCTTTTTACTTCTCTTCCTTAAGAGTGTTCCTGAAACCTGTGGCTATTTTGAAGGATGTACCAATCTAGTGTCAACTTAAGCTGTCAAAGGAAGAGTTAGGATGCTGTAAGAGAACACCAGCCAGTCTCCTTTTGCTACATACCATTATCCTAGATAAATTGCACATTGTGGGTTTTTTCCTAGAACTCTGATATGAACTTGTCTGCCTGCTAATGACAAAAACTGTTGTATAACTACCGCAGTACCCTTTATGTTTTTTCCTTTGAGGTGCTGAGGGCCTTCTTCATCTGAATGTGAATGATCTTTAAGCTCTCTGAACTTTATATATAGAGTTATAAAAAATGGACCAAATTCATTTTTCATGTAAGCCCACTGGTGCCAAGGGACAAGTTTGCTCCACAGTGTTATTTTGTGGTAGAAGAGCAGATTTATAATATTGCTTATATGTTTGAGTGATCTGAGGCCAAAAAAAAAATCTCATTTTCAGGAGCTGTGGACTGAAACGCATGAATGTTAATCTACCAGTGGCAATATCCACCACTAGAATGCTATACCACTTCAACATTCAGTTCTCAGGCAAAAAGGATTGTTCAGTTCTACTGTAAACATTTAATAAGAATTATAGGAAATAGTTCTAGAAACACAGTCAATCTAAAACTTGCCCTTAGGTTATATGTTGGTTCATTTTAGTTCACAAACATAGCAGCTCACATCTCACTCTCTTACCACATGTTTCTGCTCCCCTCCACCCACCCCAATTATATAAACGAAAGGAAACCTATGAGTCCAAGCAATAAAAGGATGTCCTTACATTCACTAAGCCATTTATTAGGATCCAGCATCAGGTACTGTTTCGTCACCTCCAGTTCTCTCATTAACCACTCGTACTTGGCCTTGACCTCAGCGATTCTCTGCTGGCGATGCTCCAGGATTTTCAGCTTGGCATTGAAACATATCACCTCCTGCCAACCAGGAAAAAGAAGCAGGGAAGGAATAGATGAAGAAGAGAAGAAATACTCAGATCCATTCAGTGAAATGATTTTCCAATCAATAATACTGACAATGAACCATTTATTCTGGAAGC